ATCTTCTTCTTGATCACGTTTGATGCAACCTTATGGAACGTCCCTTCATCATCACTCCAATCATGGATAAGTGCAGGAGTAGCCTTTGAGCTTGGTGCTTCAGTGTTTGGAGCAGTGTTGAATAGATGAGGATCGTGGCGTTTGTTGCATTTGTCTCCATACCGACATTTGCCCTTAGCCCAATGCCAGCATGGTTCATCAACCTTCTTGGTCTTGTTTGCCGGAGACTGACTTCTTGGAGTTCCTGGCTTCCGACCGTTGCCTTTTGCATTCTTGTTCGCATCAAACACCTTTTGGTCGTGACTGTATTCACAATCCTTGCCTTTTCTGCATGCCTTCTTGATGAAATGGAAATGGCATGGGATCTTCTTCTTGGATCTGGGGCTGGTACTTCGGCCGTTTGATCGATCCTTCCCTTTCCCTTGACCTTTCCCTTTTCCTTTTGCATGCTGTTTAGGCTGAGGTGATGGTAGAACTGGAGCTGCATCGGCCTTGGCCTTCGCCTTGGGCGCTGCCTTCTCCTTGGGAGTAGCTTTAGGCTTCGCTTTTGGATTTGCATCCGGTGCAGCGGCAGTTGGGTTCGGAGCAGGAGCTGAAGGTTTGCCGCCGCCTGCAAAGTCTCTCGCATACTTCTCTCTGGCTGCCACATGCTTGTCCTCTCTGATTCTGGAGATGTGCCTTTCGATGACATCCAACAGGTAGCGATAATTTCGTCTTTGGTCTCCTTCCATCCATGACTCGTACTGCTTGATGTCAAACATCATAAGACTCGAATTTCGAATCTTCTTGTATAGAGCGTCACGAAGCCAATCATCAGGAGGTACGTCATCCGGCATCATGTTTGATACCATCTCCATCCATTTCTCGTAGAACACTTCTAGGTTCGAGTCACCGAGATACTTCATCGATACGATGTGCTCCATGGTGAAGGATGTTTCTCGTTGACCTGGGGTTCTGAAGTGCTCCAGAATCAAAGCCAAGATTTCCCGTCCCATGACATAGGTTCCTCTTCGGCTATGACTTTGTGTTCTCAATCTCAATTTGATCGCTACATGACGAGCAACATCACCGGCTTGGGCTATCACGTTTGACAATGCAATTGACAACTTGGCGTCGATGGACTGATACCGTTGCCCTCCACTGTCATTCAACAGCTCGATGTCAGGATTTGGTCGAATAGCCGGCTGTAGCCATGCCTCCCATGCGGCTTTATCCCCGTCATTTGCCGAAAGGACAACACTCTTGATGAGATCTGATTGCCAAACCCCAAGATTCTGTTGCTTTGGCCATGGGCTAACATAGACTTTGTCAGCCTCTCGTCTTGACATTCTTGGTACTTCTTCCGCAGTGTAAGCCGCTGTGGAGACATCATCTGCTGAATCGCGTTGTGATCCTCGAACCGATGGCAAACCAGGAGGTTCAGGAGGTGGTCCTGGACCGTTAGGCCCGAAAGGGTCCGGAGGTCCATCAGGGTCAGGCGGACCGCCCCATCCACTCGGTGGCTTGTAGTATTCCCTCTCAGTTCCGCCAGCGATCTTGTTGTCAACCTCTTTCAGTAGATCAGCGATTCTTTTGCTTGATTGAGAATGCTGTGGTTGTTGAGGAGGTAAAGCATGCCCACGATAGGAATGAGCCACATTTGTCTCATAAGTCAACTCCTTGTCGATCTGCGAAACCCAAGATTTCAGAATAGCGTTTTCACAGTTAGCCTCATTCAGGTCATTCTCCAGTTTGTCGATGACCAGTCTGGATGCGAGATCGGAGTTGGGAATGCCTGCCGAATAGGGAAGTGTGTCAGGACTGATCCTAGCCATAGATGTTTCAGAATCCTTGAGACTCTTTCTCAGTTCATCTAAGTGACGTTTCATGTCGATAATCTCAGAATTCTTGATGCCAATCTTTTCATCCCTATCCTGGATTTCCCCCATGAGCATGCATGATCTCTCATATTGTTGAACACCACTTGCCAATTTTAATTTTCGCTCACTCTCTAGTTCAGACCTTAGAGTTCGGACCTCAGCATTGGTGAGGGACGACGTCCCTACATCCGCAACTTCAGCCAACCTTTCTTTTAACAACAAGTTCTCTTGTAAGCATTCATGAACTTCATGATCTAGATCCTGAACCCTGATTTGAGCGATCTTGGCTTGATTACGTAGATCTTCAACAAGCATCTCTTCGGGGCCACGACCGTCGGTCGTAGAACCCTGAGTTAACGATCTTCGTAACTTCGTGTTCTGCAACTTGATCCCATCCTTCAATTCGCAGTTCATCTTCTGCTCGTTGGCATAGAGCTCTTCATAGTGCTCTGCCCTTGCGATCGAGTTTGCACTAGCCTGTGATTCAAGCCTCAGGTGAGATATTGCTTCGGCCTCTTGGTTCCTGTATGATGCAATTCTTTTGACGGTATCATGTTCAGTGTTTCGATGCTTCAGATCACTTTCCAATTTGGCCTGATTTGCCTCGAACACCTTCTTCCTAGACTCTCTAGTGATCTCATCAATACTGCTCTCATACAGCTCGGCCTGTTTACGAGACTGAACCAAGGCTTCACTCAATAGCTGATTTCGCTCAGATAATTCATGAACTGCAATTGATTGTTGTTGGCTAATCACTTCAAGTTGATTACTAGAGGAGGATGCCATTTCAGATCGATTGCGATATTCCATGATTGAGTTCTGGAAATCGTTTTGCATTTCTTGACCTTCATTGTATAGTCGATTGGCAATATCGGTGGTTAAGACATTGGTTTGATGAAGTTGTTGTAGTCTTGCCTCCGTTTACCCAGTAGTCCTTGAAGGTGATGTACTTCATCCTTGTACTCCTCCTGGATCTCCATACCACGTTGATGGATCCGTCGTGCACCATGTTCCATTAAGGCACCTCGGCGTTCAAGGTCTTGGATGCGTATTGTTGCACCTTCATCTTCCTGAGATGCTACCATTAGTTCTGCTTGATATTCTGCAACCTCATTTGCGGAACATGACAATCTATGATTGAGTGCATTGACCTCATCAAATACATTCTGATTGTGTTCCCGAAGATACTCAGTGAACCTGATCTCGATGTCATGAATCAGTTGATCCCTGGATGCAGCGTATGCTTCCATGTTGTTCAGCTGATTACGCAGGGATTGACATTGTGCCCGTAGTTCTTCTATCATGGCAATAGGTTCACTAGCCACAGAAGTATCCGTTGATCTCCTCTTAACACGACTATCCCCGGTCCTCTCACCAATTCGGTCGGTCACGGCCCTGGTGGATCTGTCCCTTGGAGTAGTACGTCCTCGAGATGGTCGATGCCCTTGGCGGACAACATCACTCCGAGCACTGTTTCGAGAAGATCTAGGTGTACTTTGGGTGGATATTCTTCGTCTGTTTGATGTGACTTGCCATCCGGACCGTGTAGTTCGGGTAGAGCGTATCCCGCCACTGTCTGCCGTGTCGCCAGGGGAAGATTGATTGACCTCCTCGACCGGCATAGCAGCGTTCTCATTGAAGGTAAACTGCGTGGTGCGCGAATCTCCGCTGCCGCCTTGCATCTTTGTGATGGTGAGCCGATTGGTCCTTTGCGTCCTCAATCAATTGCTCAGACGGCCCGGCTACCAGCACGCAGGTACCACTCTCCCGGCGGGAGAAGTGAGCCCTACGGCTGATAACCTGTAGTTACGCACGTTCACCACCTTTTGGCATGAACATTGTGCCCACCCATACCACTGAGCACGGTTATAAAGAACCGCCTCTAGTGGAATGACGCGCTGGCCTTAAGGGCTACCAGCTGATACACAACATGCACCGGGTAGAGGAAGACACATGGAATCACCGATTCACTGAAGAGATCCTACACCCCCCTCTTCCGAAACCTGGAGCGCAACAGCATGGCCCGAGGGTGTGAGCCACCTGACCCTCGTGTTAGGCGCCATGCAGCAGCTGGCCCCCCTGCTTTTGCAAGGAATGCCCTAGGTGGCGCGGCCTCCTCTGTTTACCCCTTTTTTTTTTGGAGCAGGGCAGGCTGCCACGTTTGTATTGCACCTTTTGGATGCTTTTTAACCACCTACCAGCATGGTCTCAGAGCCATGCGGCTGATAACCTGTAAACAATTTGATCCTTGTTCTGGATTATCCCTTTTGATTGTAGTACCGGTTGTGCTGGTAGTGCAGGGCAACGTCACTGCATGGCGTTCGGAGAACGGTCTTTTTCCTCGCGCATGACTTGAGCCAAATGATTGGCAGTCCATGCAACACTGTCTACATGCTCAGCATGTGAAATGATTGTATTACCTAGTTCCCTTTCGCACATATATATATATAGAAGGACAATACGGATAACTGCTGTGGCTTATATTGGTGTATATATATAATATACAGTAGTATACCACTTTTTACCAAGTATCACAAATCAATAGCTATCTCAATATACATATAATGTGTATATATATATACAGTATATATATATGTATACAGTATATATATATCATCCCGGTGATAGTAATATTGAACTAATGGCCATAGAGTGTGGCGTTATGTGATGATTAAATCCATTGTTTGCTGGTAAATCCCCAATGTTTGATTTTTATGTCCCAGTGTTTAAATGGTTATAATACTTATAGTTCATTCCAAGTGTTTGGTGGTTAAGTGAGAGCTTTTAATGATTGGTTGAATCTCTCTATCTTTGATCATTACATAGATCATGGTTATAACCATCATGGTATTATCATGGTACATATATATATATATACATTATGATATACGTATACACAATGCAATAAACCACCCATGCGCTAAATTGGAGTTTGTGATGGAAAAAAAAACAGTTTCTGGTTGGTGGTATACCTACCCCTCTGAAAAATATGAGCTCGTCAGTTGGGGCTACTATTCCCAACTGGAAAGTCATTCAAAAATCCATGGTTTCAGTCACCACCAACCAGGATATTATAGAACATATATACCATACATACCATCCATTAACCATCCATTAACCAACCAGATTTTACCCAGTCACCTGCCTCGAAACTGCCTCGGCTTCCCCACGCCACAACCCAGTGCTCTCCATCTGAAAAGTACAGCGGAACCGCCCGGGCCTGGCACAGCCGGCGGACCCTGGGACCCTGGGAGAGTCGCCTGAAAGATGCGGATTCATCACGTTATATATAGTTATATATATATATATATTATATATATAACTGTTTAACCTACAAGACTTGGGATTTGAAGCCAAAAATTCAGCACTGACCAAGAAACCCATATTTTGAAGAGAAAACTAGCGATTTAAGCTAGAAACAAGGGGAAATCAGAAATAAAACTGGAGATCCAACCTACAAAAATTCCGATTTGACCAATGAAACTTGGGTATTGCCGTCAAAATTCACCTGCAAACACCAAACATGGGCTCTGGAAGACGACTTTCTGAACCTAGAAATGGCCATGTTTGGATTTCACATTGGGTTTTCACGGGTGCAACCGATCAAAATGAAGCATAGATCATAAACCAAAACTCAAAATTCAAAGACGACAAGCCAAACATGTGGGAAATCATCATCCAGACATGGATAAATACCCAACCCGAAACAGGAATTGATTCGGAGATAAGAAACTACTCAAAGGCAAATGAGCAACAATTCTGTGGATTTGATAAGAGTCTGAGTCTGTGACAACGTTTGATCAAACAAACCAGGATAGGGCCGATCAAACTATCGTTCATCGAGGGTCAGCATCTTTGATAGGTGGTTTCACCCTTTGAACAGTATCACTCATCGTGCTGGAAGTAAGATATATGATTCATATGATAATTATATATTTATATATGTATATATATTATTTATAATTACATTATATATTGTATATATATATATATTATGATATATATATATAATTATATATATATAATTATAATATATATGTATACGTATACTCAAAACCACCAATGTCGTGTTGCTGGCAACATCCCCTGTGGTTTCTGGTTATATACCCTATTTCAAAGGACAACACACCGCCCGCAGCGCCTGAGCGTCAGCATCTTTGAACTCACGTCCAGCCAGACCCACTCGCGCGCGCACTGCCCGCTGATGTAGCCTTGTGCTGGCTGTTCTCGTCCACTGGGATCATCAAAATGGTATTTTTTTGATCAAAAACTTATCTAAAAATATCGTCCCCAAGAGGTACGAGAAACATCTAAAAACGATGTTTTTTCCTTTTATGGGGATCCCCAAAGAGATAGGCAAGTGCCCATTGTGGGGATTTCCAGGATGTAGACGTCTTGACGTCTTCATTTCCATGCCCGGCCAACGAACAAGATGCGCCCCAGGTCGATTGGATGGATTGCATGCCAGCAAAGTTATGCTATAGGTTGGGATAGTTGGCGAGAAACATGGGGATACGAACAAACATCAACAAACAAAAACAATTTAAAAACACATCAAAAAAAACTGAATAAATGACCAATAATACATGAATTACACTGTGTTCTACTGCTGAGAATAGGTTGAACTTCGCGTGTGTGCAACAAGAATGTGCAACCATTTCTCTAACCAACAAGAATGGTGGAGCGCTTTCAACTTTCAGAGTTGTTTCACGTTGGGAGCTGAAAATCATGCAGCTGACTCCAGCAAAAAGCGCAAACCGTTCATATCCGCTGGTGCGATTGATGTGATGGGGTCAGCCATTTGTGAGGCGAGAATCCGACAGAAATGTCCCCGTCGAAAATGGAACATAAGGCCCTTTGGGTTCACACCCATCTCTATATGAGTCTGATTTCTCGTCAATTTCGATAAACAAAAGCACTGTTTCTCCCCTGCTAAACTTTCTGGAAGACCTCAGCTGCTACACCTCGCTGGTTTCGGGGCCAGCAAGTCCACCCTCTCCGCCAAGGAGCGGAGATAGTGCGGCACGCCATACCATGGGTCTATCTCTTCCTGGGCCCCATTGGAAAATGGGTTTGTCTGAAACTAGGCTACCTCTAAATCCATTGGTTACACATCATTTTCCCTGTTAAAAGTACCTTTGAGGGGTATACCCAGGTATACACCATTTAAAGACAGACCCAAGTCTGTTTTCAACAGACAACGCCATCCACGGACCATGCAGCTCTTCGTTGTCAGGGCACGGGGCAAACGGCCGTAACCATGGCCAAGTACTTGGTCCTGCTGTGGTTTTTCGGAAGTTGTAAAGTTGATCTGCCAGGATTTGGAGAAATTTAAATAAGACAATAAGAACATCAAAACCTACAAAATAAGGCAAAACTACTATAAATTGATGCCTTCCATTGCCTCAATCTTCATATATGAGGTTGCTATATGCAGACAATCGAGAACAACTCAACCAGGAGGAACAAATGAAGAGTCGCTGCAAGATTCACAATCCAAACAGGCAGGAGAGTTTATCTGATCGACAGTCGACAGGTCGCGATTTGAATGCTTGAAAATGGTTGACCAATATTGACAATGTCTTTAAAGTCTTCCCAATGGATGTCGCCACGGGAAAGGGCTTGAAACGTTTGTGACTGAAGAGGCAAGAGGTCTTTCCAATATATAAACTACCGTTTGACTGGCATGAAAGCATGGCAATCAAACCACACGTCAACCATAGTCCACCACCACAATGAGATCGCATCCCCATTCTAGTAATCCCTTTGCCTTGCAACTAAGATATCGTGCACTGCACTTTGCTGCTTGGGCATTCACCCCTGTGTTTCGAAATTTATTCAACCTTCATTCTAAGGTTTGTCCAAAAATCTGATGCCTCTGAATGCTCAACCACCACATTATACTGCCATTTGGAGGTACACTAACACTAACGATTGTTTCTCCACACCTTTTGTTTAACCCCATTTCCACTGTGGAAATCTCCACGGCACCGAAGCCCCATCTGCAGCTTCCCTCGGCAGGTCCCGTGCACCGTGAAGACGATGCCACTTCCAGGTTCCAGCACTCCCGCCGGCAGCGGCGCGTTACCCATGGCGCCATCAGACGGTTCTCGACGCTTCCGGGCTTCCGGCGTGCAACGGCCCCCGAGTGAAATGCTGTTTGGGTCACCCACTGCGAGGTGATACATGTGACAAACTTCGGGCTTAGCGGGATGATGTTCAGAATCATGGTGTCACTTATCAGTTCAAAACATTTCAACCATTGACATGTCATCGTAATTCTCTTCTCACAAAAGCATCCACCATTTTTCATAGCTCGCCACATCCAAGAAACATTGGTCTGTGGCTTGAACCGCCCAAAGTCGCAGCCACAAGATATCCATGGAATTTCGTCAAGCGAACATGCCCGGATGTGATTTTGAAGTTATTGAGTCTTTCATCAAGAAAAAACAATTGATCGTACAATCGTACAAATATGTACAAGATTAAGTGTGTGTATATATACATATGTATATACAAATATACCTATATATGGATCTGGGGTCTCAAGCTAACCCTTAAAAACGATAGTCGTCTCACTCTTCAGCCAGGTGGTTGGCATTCATCGCAATATCATGGGCCCCTACCATTTGGAGGTTTCCTAAAATGGGGGGTACCCAAAAATGGATGGTTTAATAATGGAACATCCTATTAATTAAAATGGATGATTTAGGGGTACCCATATTTTAGGAAACCTCCATTTGTAACTGTGGAGTCACGTGGTAAACAAGCCTACTTATAGGATGTTCCGGGTACCCTCCTGTATACTCACATAGATGCGGAAACCACACCATTTCTAGATCACTTTAGGCTTTCCCCATGGGCTTTTCACATCTAAACGTTTCCCCTAGGCTACATGTAATCCAATATGTGATGATTAAAATCCACAGATTTGATGCTTAAATCAGTTCCCAATTTGGCCCTGCTGGATCAATGGATTTCTCCTCTCACCATGCGCCCTCACCGGCCAAAAAAAAATCTGAGTGGAAAATCGATCGGTCGATCTGGAGTGGCATTCCCAAAAAAGTTTTCAGTGAAGTCACTTCACAAAGCTAAGATATATATATATATAATATCTATATGGCAGTGTGTCAAAACCTTGTACCCCTGTAGTTCACATCAAAATAGCTGGGATTTATGGATGTTCATCCCATTAAAAATGGTATTTTCATAGGTATTGATCCATACCCATATATATATGATATATATATATATATTATAAAACATGATCAGCTCCCATCAAATATTTAAGAAGGCTTCGCATCCCCAAAATCTTGGCGAAAGATCTTCGCTAATATTTTCCATATCCCGATGTTTCAATGGTCCTATGACCAGACTATATCCTGTCTTATCAGATGGTAAGTGTCCCGTTGTTACACTAAGAGTAAATCTGATAAGACAGGATATATTCCTATAATTTCCTATATTGAACCATTATTGAACCATTGAACCATTGAACCATTGATGGTAATCCATACTGAACCATTCCCACTTCAGCGCACTTCGCTGGGTGAACCGTACCCCGAATAGCCGCTGAACTCATCGTAGTTGGAATCTCCTAGATCCGCTTTGTCGTCGTCACGATCCACCTGCGAAGATAGCTGAAGATCTTGCGGTGGGTAAACATGATGGGAAATATCATGGGAAATATCATGATATATGTCTGGAACTATCATATTTGTCCAAAATCGCATTGATTGTTTGGAAAACATAGTTGGGAAACCACAATCTTTGAAGCATGAGGTTTGGATCTTCATTTCATACTGGCTTAATCACAGTTTGCGTACCATACAAATAGGGGGACTTGCTGGCAAGTTTCCAGGGGCCGGGCAAATTCAAGTGGCTTGTTGAACAACTGTCGAAGATTCCGCCCATGTCTGCCTTGTTTTAGATTGATCAAGAATGAATTGTGCTCCCAATCCTATCAGTAAATCTCCTGGCAGCTCGCCTAACTATCAGAATTGATCAAAATCATGTCCCAAAGGATCCCTACCATTGATCCACCAGTTCCTCACACCATCCCGGCCAAGTTTGCACTCAGCACCCAGGTCACATGATGAAATCAATGAAATTCGCCCTAAACATAGCAACCCCCACAAAGATGAAGGAAAGAATTCAATCCAATCCTACCATAGCCGCAGCCTCATCTCGACTCACACCGCCAATGAAACCGGTAGCACCACGACCACGACCCGGCACGTACCTTGGATAACATGAAACCTCAGGTTCAAGGGGAAAAAATGGGAATGTAACCATTAATAACACCATGAAATATAATCATTATTATATGTTTTTGGGGAATATCTACATATATGTAGGTGTCCTAAAATGGGTGGTAAACCCAAATCATCACAACTTAGATCATCTTAGTATCGAAACCCATGGTGACTTGGGGATCCAAACTTTTTCTTGTCTGGAAAGGGGGATAAAGTATGCGAAAGTACGGGAACACAATGGGTATGCAACTAGCAAATACCAGCAGTCTCATATTTGGCGGATAATGATGATTAACCAGCGGATTGAGGGGTATCTATGTTCAGACAAGCATAAAAACAGGGAACTCTGGGATAATATATATATTATATTATATTATATTATATTATATTGTATTGTATTATATTATATTATATTATATTATATTATATTGTATAATAATATTATATTAAATTATATCATATCATATCATATCATATTATATTATAATATATAATATATATAATATATATTATATATATTATATATTATATATGATATATTATATATTATATATTATATATATTATATATTATATAAATATTATAATATATATATATATACATTATAATATATAATATTATAGAATGGAATCATATAGATGTGTTTGGGAAGTATTTGCAATCAACACATGATCAATAACGGGGGTGACTGGCAACCGAAAGATGGTTTACTGTAAAGGCCCAAGATTTCAGGGACCTGTCGGCTCGTCCCAACGTTTTTCTGCAGCTTCGCCGGTGAATCGCAGGGTGAGCGTCACTCAATTATTCTTTGAAATGTTCGTCTCAACTCATCAAATCACTTTTAAGTCAACTGTTGTCTCCAAATAGGAATGCCAAGTTCACAACACATCTGAAACTAGCAACCCTTAAATCAAAATTCTGAGAAAGAGGTTGGAAGATATCGAGCACCTCGTGGTGTTTTAGCATGGATGAATCACAATGAAACTCCAAGTTTGACCTGGTCACATCTACTTTCCCAAATCTCTTATGAAAGCTCCAATCCTGTTGTCAACAGAGCTGGAAAAACAAAGTCCTTCAAAAAGATTGCAGTTTACCCTTGGTTGACATCCCAAGTGGTCGCTAAAATCCAACATGAATTCTAGGGGGTTCCCTACCCAACACCAAATTTGGATCATTTTGGGGGCAACCCTGGGACTACCGGGGCGCACCCGGGCGGCGCGTTTCCGAACATGGCATCTGTACCACGCTTCGTGGGCACCGCCGTCTGACGCAGGCGGAAGATGATGGAAGTGGGATGTCATCCAGTAGATATGGGTGAATCACTGGTCAAGACTATGAGTGAACCGATAATTTTGACGAACAATTTAATATAGATGTGAATGAGATTGAATAAGAATAGACTTCCAATATCCATTGGTGTAATATACTCCCTACTTTATCAGGCCCTTTGATGGTTGGTGCATTTCCAATCTCCAGCTCCAGCTCACGAGCTGTGCCCCTGTGCCCGCTGAACACTTCGAATCCGTCAACCGAAACATACTGCTTCCATGCCATGAAATGGATGATGACTGGGGCTACCCCCATGACTCAGGAAACCTCCATATTCTGTTGGATAACGGTTCATCCCCATTAATGTGGGTAAAACAATGCCATTTTTACCACCCATGACTGGGAATGGTAAACATACCAACTATTAAAATGGTGATGACTGGGGGATGGTGCAAATGACATTGTTTTACCTACATTAGGGCTTTTCCTACAGATGTTCCGTTCATGCAATAACTGGAGATTCGGATGCTATTCTGCTATGACATGTTATAACCCCATTGGGTCACTACCATATTAAACCACTCAGTGAAGCCCCCTTTTTAGCATCGGAACTCCTGTCCGAAGCTGGGCTTCCACACGTGCATCCCCATGTCTGCACGAGTCTGCATGGGAATCTTCGCACCACGTCCTGGAAAACGGAAAACGGACGAAAGGCCAAGAGTTGGGTGCGAAATTTTGAGCATCTTGGGGAAACATGGGCAAATGAAGTTCCAGCTAGAATTAGTTATATACATGTGTCTATGTATTATATATATATATCACTGACTGTATGTATGTATGTATGTATGTATGTATGTATGTATCTATCTATCTATCTATCTATGTATCTATGTATCTATGTATCTATGTATCTATGTATCTATGTATCTATGTATCTATGTATCTATGTATCTATGTATCTATCTATCTATCTATCTATCTATCTATCTATGTATGGATGTATGCATGTATGCATGTATGCATGTATGCATGTATGCATGTATGCATGTATGCATGTATGCATGTATGCATGTATGCATGCATGCATGCATGTATGTATGTATGTTGATGGTTGTAGGGGTTTTACATCCTAACTTCTGGGTGTCATTACGATTTTTATACCAATTCTTTGAACCACCTGGCACCAGCTGACACCGCCATTCTGAGCTGCTGGCCGATACCGCCAGCATATCCGGATGGAGCTAGGGATTCATCCAACTTGAGGCGTTTGGTGGGCGCCTCATGCAGAAAGCTGCGGCAAAACTGGGGATGTTCGGATGTTCATCCGGAAAACTGGGAGAGCTATGGAAAGCTTGGGTCTTCATCCTTCGAAACATCGTAGTTTTGAGAAACATGGATGATCTGGGGGATTTGGGGATGCCTAACTTTTCAAAACCCAGATGGCTTGGCCAAAATTCTTCGAAAACTGGTGGTTTTTTGATCCTCGTCGGCGGTGGCACGGTACCCAAATCGTTGGGAGATAACTGAGATAACTGAGATAACATGACTGATGCTGAGCCTTAGCTGATATTGCCACCATGCTGGAAGTCAGTCACTTTGTCTGAAACTCTCCATCTCAACAAATCATGGCTTGAAATCCTAGAAATCAACGGTCATCCAGTCCATCGGTGGTTGCCCCTGCCTGGAAAAATTGTGCCAGGGTCGTTCAACACCCATCGTATGGGGGCTGGTGATCTGACCGTCACTAGGATTTTTTATTTAGGACTTTAGATATACACAACCATCTGGATAGAACCATTCCCCCAGCTTGAACATGGCAGATATGTACTGTGATTTGGAGTACTTTGAATCCATTCATCGTGGTTCCTCAATACTGACCCTCACTTGGTGAGCATGCTTGAGGTGCTTAGAAATTCTCCAAACAGATGGGCGTATCTGAAGCTAACGTACCTCAAAATAGCTAGCGCTTGAGAAAATCATGTTCCTGATGTTCAAATGGCCATAAAATGGCCAATACTTTCCACTGGACAAACCTATATCCTGATCTTCGTGGTCAACCACCCAAAAAAGCGCCTGCCCGGGAAGCAGCGACATGGCTGCAGGCGCCTGGCCCACGGTGGCACCCATAGATCCACCGCTACCACGGGCAGTAAAGGCATATCTCAGATGGATGTCATGTGTCAAACTCTTGATGGGGATCATGTCCCATTCAAGTTATGCAAGTTTCATGTATGCAAAAAGCGTCAAATTAAATGACAGTTCTCAAAAACCTAGACCCCTTGAAGTTCAGGGTACAGGACTGTCCAAAATTAGCTACCTCGGAATCAAATGTTTTTGAAAATAATGGTTCCCAAATGGCTGAGGTTATACCCCATCCCTGGGTAAACCCAATTATATAATTATAGTGTCCTTGTTTCTTGCGCTCAGCGCTTGACCCTGCTGCCCTACCATAGGTTGATAATGATTATGCTGCATGTTCAAAAATCTTAGCTAGTAGATCAAGTCGTCACAAATATGTCAAAGCTCAAACACATCTTGACACTTATGTAATAGTTAAATAATCGTGTATATATATATTATACGATTATATATATGTACATAATATACATATGAAATGTCTGTGACTGTCTGTACATATTGTATCATCAAAGACTTCGAATGTCTGCCCGAGCGATTTTTTACGGACACGAGTCTCGTGTCGGGCCACGTCGGGCCCCGCCTCAAAGTCCACCGTTGAGGAGGTTTTGCAGAACTTGAGCCCGGCCAATTCGTCACCAACTCCGAAGTTTCGCGGATGATACCATCTGGTAAACTAACATAACTATGGGAAATCACCATTTTTAATGGGAAAATCCACTATAAATGGCCATTTTCAATAGCTATGTTAGTTTACCAGAAGGTAGATTCTATCATCATCTCACGACAAATCACATCTGAACAAAAAAAGATGTTGAGTCATGATAATAGGGATGTTGATTGTTTTCATCATCCCATAAAAATGGTGGAAATCATCGACGAAGGTCCCATTCCAAAGGAAAGAAAAGGATGAAACCAAACCCTCCAAATAAAAGAAAATTGAAACCAAACCCTCCAAATAAAAGAAAATTGAAACCAAACCCTCCAAATAAAAGAACATTGAAATCAAACCCTCCAAATAAAAAGAAATGCTAGTAGATAGGCATAGGCGGCATAGGTCAAAATGGATTACCATTCCGCTAAATCAGACATTTTTGGTATCAAACCATCCAGTTGGGTGGGATCAGGCCGTATCTTTGTCGCTTCGCTGTTCGGATGTTGCACCTTGACACCAGACTCATATGACTGATACAACTCATAGGGATACTCAGACAGGACCCAAACAGGTCCGTTTGTTCAGGCAACGTCCGTGACTCTACTGGTCAAGTAGACTGTTGTAGTGTTCATAAAACATCAGCTTCGCTGCTTCACGGTGAGGAAATCATATCCCAAATCAGATGCCGGGATTGGATTAGTCATACAACGACGTTCAAAGGCCGCAACTCTGGGACAATCATGGGCAGTTGCCAACTGGAAAGGCAAGGCACATGATCAAGATCCATTGGTGAAATATGGTGAAATACTTCCAAGAATCTGTAAGATGTGTAGCAAACTGGGAAATGCATGGAAATGCGGGGAACAGCACACCAGGAAATGCCGGTGAATCTGACTTGCGCCGTTGCTACAGTAATTATCTGTGGCAACACAGTACTATGATGTACTGTGGCAACTATGGCATTGAAAAAGTGCAGATGGAAAACATGTCAAGGGATGTGTAGCTGACTGCCGAGAGTAAAGAACGCTTCAAGGGGACCCCGCAGAACCCTCAGCAGGTCACCGTTTTATCAGGTTTGGAGCTTCTTCCTTCGACGCTCGAAATGGGCTCTTCGAATTTCCACTGGGATGTGCTGAAGGTAGACTGGAATCATCAGGACTCGTTGGTGAAATTGACCCATGATTTTTATATTCACTAAGCATATCCTACTTTCCATTGCATTTCTTTTTCACCCAGAGATACTGATCCAGAGAAATGATCCCCTTCATCGCATCTCACTGATGCCCAGCTGATTCGCACTTCTGGCTGCTGGTGGAATGCATCTGGCAATCCAAACTGCGGTGAGACACAGCTCAACCGCTCAACCTGGAAGAAATCGATTTAAAGAGGAGAATGCAAAGATGAATTTGCCTCCAGTAGTCTTTAGCAAGGAATAATCCTGCAGTTGTGATGTTGTAGGTGATTGTGTAAATTGAGGTGTATTTCCAGATTACTGGAGGGTCGCCTGCATGGTGGTTTCAATTCTGCTGAAGAAACAAAATGTGTCAAATGACGATGATGTAAACCACCATCCAGCAGCTGGGACGGTGCACCAAAAGAAGCAAACAACAAACCCAGGATAGGTCGACGGCTGGAAAGACCTATAGAACATACATCCTCTGGGGACCGCCTCGAAAGTTGGCTCAACCCCTGAAGGGTGGCCACCCAGGTTGGGCAACAAAGGATTGAAGCCCCCAGGGCCCTGGGGAACAATTTTCGACGTCACTGTTCAAATGAGCACCAGCGTCATGCATGGGGTCCTGAAATGGAGGGACCTCAGGCGATGTCTGGGCGAAGCCGAGACGAGACGGACAAAATGGGTCATGATGGTCATGTCATCCCAAATTACTATGTACCCTCTGGTAAACAGCCACATAGGTATTGAAAATGGCCATAGAAATCGTGGATTTACCCATTAAAAATGGTGATTTCCCATAGTTACGTAAACGTTTACCAGAGTGTACAGCTATGTACTACGGTTTTCTGCCGCCCTTGATCCACCTGGCTCGATTCAAACCACATTTTCACAGCCCCCAAAAAATGACCTTCTTTGTTGGAAAAAAATAAAGTGGTTGATGGTTGAATATATAGTTTAGATATTATATATATACACATATTTATTATATATATGATCAAAGGAAGTTTAGGGGGAGAAACTTCCGTGTTACGGACTTTTAGAATGTCAGGGAAAGAGTTAGTCAAAGAAAGAGTTAGTCAGGGAAAGAGTTAGTCAAAGAAAGAGTTAGCAAAGAAAGAGTTAGTCAAAGAAATTAGCAAGAGGACAGTATAGTCAAAGAAAGAGTTAGTCAAAGAAAGAGTTCGCAAAGAAAGAGTTCGTCAGGGAAAGAGTTCGTCAAAGAAAGAGTTAGTCAAAGAAACAGTTAGTCAGGGAAAGAGTTAGTCAAAGAAAGAGTTAGTCAAAGAAACAGTTAGTCAGGGAAAGAGTTAGTCAAAGAAAGAGTTAGTCAAGGAAAGAGTTAGTCAAAGAAAGAGTTAGTCAAAGAAAGAGTTAGTCAAAGAAACAGTTAGTCAGGGAAAGAGTTAGTCAAAGAAAGAGTTGGTCAGGGAAAGAGTTAGTCAAAGAAAGAGATAGTCAGGGAAAGAGTTAGTCAAAGAAAGAGTTAGCAAAGAAAGAGTTCGTCAGGGAAAGAGTTAGTCAAAGAAAGAGTTAGTGAGGGAAAGAGTTAGTCAAAGAAAGAGTTAGTGAGGGAAAGAGTTATTCAAAGAAAGAGTTAGCAAAGAAACAGTTAGTCA